GCCCGGATGCAGCCTCCCGGCAGCCCCGGCACGGTCGTCCAGCAGTGGTGGCTGGCACAGACAGCTGCGTGTCCCACAGCCCCTTCATGCTGGCCAAGTGGCCGAACACCTTGCCACAGGTCCCAGCATGAGGCGAGCAGAGCCGGCAGCATGCCCTGGCCCCCGACATCCAGAGCCAGGACGGCAGCAGAGCTGCAGGCAGCTGCAGAACAAACTAGATAGAGCCTTGTGGGCACTGCTGATGGGCTCCCCAGCCTTTAACAGCAACGTCCCCAGAACTTCATCCCTTGTGGTACATGAGGACTGAAAACAGCATCCATGGATGCAGCCGTGACAATCCTCCACCAACACAACCCTCAACCTGCCCTTCGGACACCCATGGTGCCTCTGCTTTACCCACTTCTCAGTGATGCTGTAGCTCCGCCACCCAGCAGCATCTTCCCAGGCGGCTCCACACCGAAGGCTTTAGGATGCTCCGCAGCATCGACCGTCCCCGTGCCTGACCCTGGCGGGATGCAGCACCCAGGACCTCCTGCGTGGAAGCAGGGTGCCCAGAGGATACACACCCAGCGCTTTCCTGGCAGGCTGACGTTGGACACTACCAGGAGGTGGCAGACGGGGTGATCTGATCATGCAGCCTGCATGTGCAGACCTTCCTGGCATTGAAATCCAAGGAGCTACCATCCGATCACTGCTTGGCAGGGTGAGCCAGGAGCTCTGCAGGAACTGCCCAGCTCCCAGGAAGGGCTGGGTGCTGGCACTGCCGCTACCCGCTCGCTGCCCCAGAGATGCCCCAGGCAAGCAGCCCACGAGTGATGAGCAGGTGGGAGAAGATCCCCTCTCTTCATCCCAGATCAGCTCTAAAGCCCCAGCTCTAAAGCTGTGGCAGCTCCTCAGGGAAGAGGGCAAGTGGGGATCCCTCCCGCCAGCTGGAGGACAGTTACATTTTGGATATGACAGTGCCTCAGGGCTCTCTGCCCACAGCCGGATCCACGGAAGGAGTGGTACTGTCCCCATATCCTGCTGCAGGGACTTTTCCTGCAGGGAAGCATGTAGCTGTCCCATTGCATCAGCTGCAAGGAAGAGCACAGCTGAGCTCGTGCAGGGAGCCTGGGCAACATCCACCCCCTCCCCCTGCCCTTCCAGCTGTGCTTCTCCCCGGACCCGGGCACCGGCCAGGAGGAAACATCCCCCAAGGCAGCCCCTGGGTAAGAAGCCCTGCAAGGACGAAAGAAACCACCCGCATGATCCCTGACCATAACGCAGGGAGGAGGATGGAGAGCTGGTGTGTGCCACATGGTGCACAGACAAGGGCAGTGACACGCTGAGGGTGACCTCATCCATCAGAAACGTCGGGCTGGCCTCACGGGGGTGCAGATGCAGCAGAGACCCCAGGAGCCAGTGGGAAATGCCTCCCAGCCAGGCTGCCGGGTCCACGGGGCCAATCTTCCTGCTGGTCCCTTGTGGCACGGACGGGCTAAGGTCCACTGTCTGGGTGGCCGTGTGCTTCAGCTCACCCTCCTCTTCCTCCCCGCAGCAGGGACAGTGTCTGTCTGTCTGTCCATCCGTGGCTTCAGCCTTCAGGAGGACTCCACAGGGCCACGAGGGGGTGGCCGCCCGTGGGAGGCTGGTGTTCAGGCAGTCTGGCCGGGCGGCAGGCGTTTGCTGTCCAGAATGGCCTTCCAGTCATCGGTCCAGGACTGCAGCCTGCGGCTGGGGGGCTTCAGCTGCAGGTGCTTGTTGTGGCAGGCCGTGAAGAGCACGTGCTCCCAGCTGGGGTTCAGCTCGGCTCCTGCAAAGCAAGGAGAGAGCTCGGCTTTCTGGACAACTCCTCCGAGAGACTGAGAGGCTGACCTTACTCCAACACGAGGAGCCTGCAGACACAACCCCCTAACGAGAGCCTAATCAAGCAGGGAGGGACCAGTGCCCATCACCCAGGGATGCCGTCTGCCCACCAGGGTTGCTTCTGGTCACTCCTGCCACCCCGCACCTCCCTTACCTGTTATATCAGGTCGGTCATCTATAAGGAGGTCAGCAGAAACCACCGTCTTATCTCGCGTCAAAACGATCTGCTCGAGAAACTCGGGGCCAAAGTGTTTCTCCACCCAGGCGTACTGGAAGGTGAGGAGCGAGAAGTGAGCGCAGGGAAGGCTGATGGACAGGGCAGGGGCTGCTCAGCACAGCATGAGCCCTGGCCCCACACAGGGAGGACACTTCTCTTAATAAGTTCATTAGTGGGAAGGATTCAGATGCTGCTGGAGCACAAGTTCTTTTAAAGCCAAGTAGCTTTTGACATCATGATGAAATACTACGACCAAGCACCTCAGTGCATGCAAATGGCAGAGCTTGGCTGGTGGTGGAGCTGACACTCTGTGAAGATGCTTAAGAACAAAACCGGTGGAGCAGGGAAATATCGCTGCCGGTTTACAGCCAGAGGCATGCAGGAGTCAGCCGGTGTTCACCGGGCAGCACGGTATGGGAGGGGGAGCTGGGATTCGGACCTGCTCACCTTCTCATAAGGGCAGTAGCGGTACTTCTTGATCGGGCTTGTGCAGATGAACACGTCGGTGCTGTCACGAGGAGAGAAACGGCAGCAGAGTGTCACTTCATGGCCAAACATGCCGATCAGACCATGCTCCCCCTTGAAGCGCACCCAGCTACCTCTGCAAGACCCTGCTCAGTGTCTGAGCAGGCAGGCACCCAAAGCAGACCCCCCACCACAGATCAAACCGGAGTGATTTAAAATGTTAATACCCCATTTGGCAAGGTCCCAACCGCAGGACGCGTACCCGCACCCGCACCACAGGCATGTTCCCTTGTTCGCCACCCTTGCTGGGGGCAGAGGGCTGAAGAGAAGGGGATGCATGTGGCTGATTTTCTTGGTGACTGCTCTAGGAGTCAAAGCCCTCTCCTACCTCCCATGCCCAGCAGGCTGGTAGGCATTTTTAACACTGATGTTGTCTTCAGCGCTTCTGACGAGAGGAGGACGAGCCTGCAAAGCCACTGCTGCTTCCCTGTCCATCCCCAAATACCACCAGCAGGTTCCTACTCACTCTGCCAAATTTGCCATTTGCTTCACAGCTTCCACAGCCCCAGGGAGTGGGTCCAGCTCGATGAAGAAGTTCTTGGATTCCCAGATGCTGATAGCTTTCTCCTGAGAGGGGAAAGAGAGCAGTTACTGCACAGGGCTTCTTGCCATGTGCTCAGCATGTGCCTCTTCCTCACCCTCTGCTAGGACAGAGGATGGTGACAGTGAGAAAGGTGGGAGCTCTGGTCCCTCCCACTAACCCACTTTGCCTCTGTGGGTTCCTCTGTTCCCCACCTGCCAACCAGCACCCGTCCCATACAATTTATATCAGAGATGCTCTGGAGCAGGTTTGGGTTTGCCCGTGCAGCCCCAGACACAGAGGGAGCAGCACATTCCTTCAAGGCAAAACACAGAGATTGTTCAGAACCAAACGAAACACCGGGTCTGCATCCAGAGGGGCACTTCCACGTGGATCGAGCTGACGTGGCCTGGTAACCCTGCTGTAATGTGATGCTGTTGAGCCACAGATGCTGTCTGGCCTATTTGTCTCAGTCAGATCACTTAAAATAGCAGCTGGGCAGCTCTCATAGGAGAAAGTGTATTATAGGATGGACTACATGTCAGGATGAATGCAGATACTCTTCCTCAGGGGTGACTGGGCAAGATCTACCAGGCAAATGGAGCATCTCCAGACAAGGGTTTGAAACACATAACGTCCAGGTCAGCAGCTGGGGAGCACTGGTATGGTGCAAGGGAATGAATGCAGAGCAGAGAGAGACCGCAGGGAGCAAAACCTTGGGGCAGGGCAGAGTCCAGGGGCTGCCTGCAATGGCTGCCTGCTGCTCTAAGGACCAGCATCCCCTGTGCTCCCTCAAATAGGTAATGGCTTGTCAGCCACAAGGAAAAGTAATTCTTTTGCACAGACACTGGGTGCTCGGGGAGCAGAGCCTGGGAGTGCTGCAACGCCGCTGCGGGCAGTGGAAGCAGCCCCAATCCGGTGTTGCAATGCAGCTGAGCAGCTGCAACTGGGAGAAGTTTTGAAGGGAGCCCTGTCCTGAAGGGCTGATCTGGATTTTGAGCACCTCTGTTTCTGTATTTGAGGCAAGGCAATAGAGACTAAAGGAAGTTTAAGCCCATCCTGGCCTTCTTGTATCGCACAGTATGGAGGAGCCAGCAGAGCATCGGGGTAGGGGAGAGCAGCCTCCGCGACGCTTATGTGCTGGTTCTTAAAGCTCATAGCAAAAACCAGACTGGTTGGACACACCAGCTAGACTTGCAGCTCTCTCCTGTCTGATGAGTGGGAATCTAGTCTGCCCCACCACATTTTGCTTTTACTACACCTGCACTGGGGGAAGAAAGCAGGCAACCACAAGCAACTGGGGCTTCGCTGTGAACTCCAGGCTCAGGGCAGCAACGCTCCAGAGCAAACACAGGGCTCACCTGGGGACTCACGTTCTGCTTCATCCTGCTAGCTGCCTGTGCCAAGACACTGGTTGCACACCTTGCCTGCTCTCAGAAGATGAATGCATGAAGCCATAACCTATTTGGGCACAGAGCATTTAACATGACATGCCAGAATAAAACCCTGTATTTCTCCAAAAATACCAGATAAGGTGAGAAGACCGGGTACCCAACTTAAAAGGAGAGACAACTCAGATCAACTGTCGCACTCTTCCCTTTTGCCCGAGCAGCAGAAAACATGAGTGGTTCAGAGGAGGGAAGAAAAACCTTCTTCATACACCTTCAAAATGAAATATGCTGATTTGGTGCAAGAGAGCCAGCAGAAATGCCTCCTAGCACCATGACGAGAACAGCTACCCTAACAGTTTGCCCCGGGGCAGGCAAACATTCAAACTCCAGTTGCTCTGCCTTAGACTGGTGGGCAACGATGTTTTATTTTTAAGATACTGACTGTAGTTGCGTAAGAGACATCTGAGAAATGCGGCCTGATCAGCAAAGCACTTCAAACCGTGCTGAAGTGTTTTCTTACAGCAAGGACTTCCGTTGCTATTCTGCTTCCACTTATGTCAAAAAGCATTTTGCAATCAAGCTCGATGGGGGAAGAACTGAGCTCATCTTGAAGAGAAGACCCGCTCGGCTCCCAGAGCCAGAATAACTCCCTGCGGCACTGCAGCCAGCACGCTGCCTGGGAGATGGAAAAATCCCCATGCCAGGCAGGACAGACCCGCAATTTCCTTCTTCTTATCTCTCCCCTGCCCGTCCAGGGCTCCCCATCCTCCCAGGTCTGTGTGCTCGCTGTATGGCTCAGCTGTTGTTCTCCCTTTCAGAGCTGAGACCTTCAGCTCGTTGAACTCTTTGGTTCCTATTTTCTGGTCTCCTCCAGCAGGTCGATGGTGCTCTCTGACAAAGGAGGACTGGAACAGCCCACGTGCCTGTAGCCACAGAGCGTCTCCTACTCTCTTTATCCCTGGTCTGAAACCGCAGGTGAAATCAGGGCTACCCTGAGGTTGGTCTGTGAAAGTTTTATTACTTGTTCAGCCCAAGGTTTTGGTGGTTTTACGTGATCGCAGCAGACACAAGATGAGCTCACTTCATTTAACACATCCAAAGTAGTTAAGATCAAGGAAAAAAAATGAGTTATCATGCATTACCCCTGCCAAACTTTTAGCATCTGCCTTACTGCATGAACAATGTCCTCTGTTTCCTCTTCATCAATCCCAGCTAGAGAGGACACGTCATTCCTTCAGCTCATCAAGCTGTTTAGGACTTTGTCAGTGGGAGAGCCCCCGGACCTTATTCACACTCTCTTCCTTGTAGCCATTGTACCACTAACGACAAGAGTACTTTTTATTTGCTGTAACACCTTTCCACTAGTGCAACTGCAATCCGTGGATGAGGCCACAGACATCCCATCAAGATGGGAAACTTGTAGAGGCAGAAACTGACTTTCGGCCCTTCGTTGAATGATAAAGTAAGGAGGGCTTCTACTTTTAGGCTTCAATTATTAAAATGGATACACTATTTTTCAGGCATGGGAGGGCTTGGGGTTGTTTTAAGTAAACCCTCACATAAAGCATCAATTGCATGGTTTGCTCTCAACTTCTCTGCTGCGTCCCACCCCTCACATTGCTGTGGAGGAAGTAAATGATCCATCTAGGAACAGTATCAATCCACGCAGCTTGGCCAAATCAGAGCTAGAAAAACCCAGCTAGGCAATATGGGTATTTTAAAAGCGATGTTCTGAAAGATCTCCTTTTCTTGCATCTATCTCCATCCATGCACGCAGAGAAAACGAGACAGATGTGAATGAAAAATGTTGGATTTCTGGGAAAAACAGGCACAGCTGGAAGCCCTCCTGTGTGCAGATCCGTACCTGTGTTTCGGTGGGAGCTCTGGCCAGCACCCGCAGCCCTCCCCAGCACTGCACCCACAAGCTGGTGGCCAGCGGGTCCCACAGGGCCAGAGCTGCAGCTGCACGGCGCGGAGCAAACGAGAGCAACAACGCGCAGAGCCGGGGGATGCATAAACTCACACTCAGCTCAGGTCCCAGGCGCCCGTATTGCTCCGACACCCAGAAGCCCCTCCGGTCCTCCAGGGCAATGTAGGGCTTGTCGGGGTACCTGGCCCTGAACTTCTTGAGGAAGCCTCCCTCGAAGTCGGCCAGCACCCCGTCCATGTCCACCAGCACCCGCAGAGCCCTGCGGGTCCC